AATTCAAAAATTCTGCTTGTGTTATAGCTAACTATATTTGATTGATCAGTTTGAATAAAATATCTGTAATTATGATCATATTAGCAAAACTGGAAGATCTGGGGTATTTATATGACATAATATTATACAAAGAGATACAAACTGATAATAGGATAATGCAAATACAAGATAAGCTCCCAGGCTGTATAAATCTGAAGAACTGCGAATATGAAAGCCTGCTTGGCAAGTCCCGAATAGAAAGGTAGCACAGATCTTTGATGTAGCTATTGTAAAAATTAGACCTAGAAAATGAAACCCATATAAACTAAACTAGATAGAATATAGGGTGTTAGCAGGATCTCAAAGATCTCTGATATAACCTAGAGGTTACTAAAAAAGGAAATTTTGTGTAGAAATTCATCAAACGTTATATTTTTATATAGTAAAATTTTGAATTTTGGTTTATTTTATATGCCTATTTGGCTGATATTATACAAACTCAGATCTAAGTTGTATCAGAGATCTTCAGGGTCCTGTGTTAGGGTTGCGCTCATACCAACCAGGCTACTGCAATAGAAAATAGGATCTAGAAACCAAGATAAAGAAGCTGCAATATATATAGCAGAGCAGCAAAGTAAAAGGTCCACAAAATTCAGTATACCTGCCTAGAGCAGAGAAAAAATATATAGTTACTGGGTCAGCTAGATTGGAAGTTTGAGAACTAGGGTTGGGCTCCTACTATTGGATAAATAGGAATTGCCAACATCAACTAGACTACCATCGAATCAGAGAAAAATAAGTGACATATATCAGGCTATCTAGATTGGAAGTCTGAATAAAGAAAACTAGATTACTAAAGTACTAGAGATATACTGTGAAGTAAATTCTGGGGTTTGAGTAAACTTACAAGAGCAGAAGTAGATTTGGATAGCAGAATTTAGCCAAAAACTAGGGTTAAATTGTAAAAAGGAAGCAGAAGAAAGTTTAAGCTAAGAAAAAAACTGTAGGCAATAACCTTGACCCAGCACTATACACACTCTTAAAATAGGAAAAACTGAACTGCAAATGGTGGACCACGGTCTGTGCATATCAAACTAAAGTGCAGGCTAGATTATACTTGTTGGCAAAACTATAAATTTATAAAATCCCACCCAAACCCAAATCCCAAGTGGACAAATCCCAATTCTAAACTGGAAAAATCCTATTTAAACTAGTAAAATCCCAAACTTTGGCTAAATCTTAAACTTTGGCTAAATCCCAAATTTTGGCAAAATCCCAAATCCTAAATCCTAAATCCCAATCCCAAATCCCAAATCCCAATCCCAAATCTCAAATCCTAATCTCAAATCTCAAATCCCAATCCCAATCTCAAATCCCAATCCCAAATCTCAAATCCTAATCCCAAATCCTAAATCCCAATTCCAAATCCCAAATCCCAATCCCAAATCCCAAATCCCAATCTCAAATCCCAAATCCCAATCCCAAATCCCATTCCAAATCAGGCTAGATTATATAGAATACACTAGGAACACACTTAATACAAGTAATACAAACTCTTAAAAAGGAAATAGCCAATCAGAGTATAAATTTTGACTATTTCAGATCAAATACCCTAGCTATGCAGAAAACAAAGTGTCAGATCATATGATTTCTGGCACTCCGAATGATCATCTACCAATCAAAATTCAGGATCTTGTATAATGAGAAATTTTACAAAGTTTTTCAAAAATTGCAGATAACTCAAAATTTTGCTTATGAAACCATCTACTGTGTTCTAATTAAAAAAATTCCTTGCAAATTTTTTTTTAGGGTAGGCCTAAATAGATGTTCATTTCTGTTATCTTCGATTGTTTTGATTTTTAAATATCAGATCAAATGCCTCAGAAATCACATGACCTAACACTTTGTTTTCTGCATAGCTAGGGTACTATTTCAGATCAGCCTGATGTAAAATTCGATCATATGCAAAAGAAAAAAGTGAAATACTTCAAAACTAGTGTTTAAGAATGAAATTTTACATATAATGGGTATTAATCTTTTTCTATAGCCTCTAACATTGAGGCCCTAACTCTAAATTTTCATTTTACATTTAGTTTATTTACAAAATCGGATTTACTTTTTTGGTTTGAATTACTCGTGAAAATAAGTAAAATCATGAACCTTGTAGATTAATCGATTGGTATACTGATAGTTAAAGTAAATTGTATTCTGTTGTTTTAATCTAATATTTAAATACAAACTTTTATTATTTTTTTCATTCTCTTTTCATTTTTTACAACTATTTAAATCTGGTGACAGGTCTCTTGAGTAATATTGCTATAATCTAAAATCACAATTAACAAACAATAAAAATTTACAAAATATAATATCAAAAATAATGTGTAAAAATTTGGCTTTCATTGGGTCCAGACAGGTTTTCAGAGTTGTATAGAATTCCTTCAATGTTCTTAAGCGTTTGAGAAGCATCTATATTACAATCCTCTAATTCTCTTTACAAGTAGATAATGCTAAATACAGTATGTATAATAAAAATCATTGTAAATTTGCCTTGTAGTAGTAGTTGTCATTCTTAATAACCGTAAATATAAAAGTTTTATGTAACGCTTTTAACGTTTAATTAGGTTGTTCTGTGTTGCATTATGAATAGATATTAAAGCAACTTAAACCTGAAATGATAAAAATAATTTATAATCCATTTAATTCTTTAACAATTCGAGTATATTTTAGAATTCTATTATAACTTACCTAAGTTGATTCAAAACCTACAATAATATTCCTTTTCTGTGCTTATTTATGTTGTGTGTCAAATTAAAATAATAATAAATACTTTTCTTCTAACATAATTTAATGAAACTCAGTATATCTGATGCACAACATTTATATATAGAAAAATTTTTTTTTCTTTGTTCATAATTATAGAAATATATGTTTTATTTTTTGGCCAAATTCTTTGGTTATAAAAAATAACAGATTTTAATAACACGCTATAAATAAATGCCTTATATTCATCTCTTTCGATTCTAAATTTCATTTTGATAAATTATATGTTTCCTTAGTGCATCTTGAATTTGACAGTAAAAATAAATATCTTCTGATTTCATCTTTTTCGATCTCGGTTTCATTTATTCAACATTATACATTTCTTTTAAAATTTCCAATCTCTGGTTTTTTGATAAATATGAATGCCTTATGTTAGTCCTTTCATTTTCAATTCCATTTTGATAAAAAATATCTAACATCACGCCCTCTAACTTTACAATAAAAAAATATTATATGTTTATTTTTTTTAACTCCAAGTCCTACTTATTCATTATTCGATTTCAAATAATAACTTTAGAATTATATATGCCTTCGGAATCATTATACCTGATTCAGTAATAATTAATCAGAACCTACAATATACAAATTTTCTCAATTGATTTTTTTTTTTTAATTAACTATCTTTAAACAATATTTATATTATTAGTCTGAGTCATTAATCAAATCATTTACATTGAAGTTTTTATCATCATGCACAACTTCTTCATTTAATAGTTCGTTAAACTCTAGCTTGAAAGATAATGATATTAAATTTCCAATTTTTAAATTTAATAAATTTTTGCCAACAAAATCATTTATTTCCTCAGAAGACTCTTCCATATCTTCCGTATCTTCAACAAGTTCTTCCAAAGAAACAGAATCACTATCAAACAAATTGGTGCCATTTTCTATTGAGCTTGCAATTTTATTGAAAATTGATAAAAAACTCTCTTTGTGAAAATTTTGATCTATATAGTTAAGTTCAGATTTAGCATTTTTTACTAAATATAAATGCATTTGAGACATTAACTCCAGTCAGTCAACATTTAATCTAAAAACAGTATTTAATTTAAGCTAATAATATAAAATTACAATAAATATATAAAAAAAATAAATAAACATATTTAGTTCGCCTCTTTCCCAGATATCAGCCTAGTATACTAAAGGTACGTTCACATGCGGTATTATGAGGAGAAATAGAATGTATTCGTATAGCAAGGGTCTTTATGTGGTCTTCATTCTTTTTAAGTTCGACGGACATCCACCAATTAGTTAATATATCAGCAGATTCAACAAATTTATCTTCAAAAGGTGCTTTTTTATTTCTGTACAAATTCATTTGAGTCCTCAGAAGGTCGCACTTGTTCGACTACTGCCTAATTGTTTCCATATTTTCAATGCCTTTTTAAGAACATAACGTTTATATGTACTATGTTCAAGGAAATGTCCTGTTATATAAAATAAAAAACAAATAAATAAATTTAAATACTTATTTACAAATACCGCAAAGAGAAAATCTGCAAATCTTATAAGATTTGCAGGGTTTTTCTTTGTAGCACTCATTTAAAGCACACTAAATATCTGTTAAATTCGAAATACCACAATAAGTTAGGTGTAAAAAAAATG